AAAGACACTCTCTTATCGATGACATGAGTGACACCAATGCTGTCCAGGAATACAAAGACATTATCTATAAGAATATCATTAAAGGGATGCAAGTGTTGATCGACGCCCGCATCAAACTCGACATCCCTTGGGGTCGACCCGACAGTGAGATTCACGCCCAACACGTGTTTGCCTGCGATAATAGACAAACAATTAGTCAACACGTGTTTACACAATATGTGCGGCCCATTGGCCACCTCTGGACCGATGAGGGCATCAGACATGCCTTTGAGCGCAGGATTGAGTTTCAATTGGTAAGTGATTTGTAGTAACAGTCGTAATACTCATGTGATTACTGTCTCTATCACTGTCTACAGAGCGATGGCGTCCGATATCTGTTTGATAACATTGACAGAATCGGTGGCGAAGACTATTTACCCACAAATCAAGACATACTGTACTCTCGAAAGGCGACCAAAGGTGTGACCGAATACAGTGTCACCATAAATAAGATTCCGTTCCGTTTCGTCGACGTCGGCGGACAGCGATCGCAACGCCAGAAGTGGTTTCAGTGCTTTGAATGCGTGACGAGTATATTGTTTATAGTGTCGTCTTCAGAGTACGATCAGGTGCTGCTCGAAGACCGCCACAAGAATCGGCTCCGGGAGTCACAGAACATCTTTGACACGATTGTCAACAACCGGTGCTTTCAAGAAGTGTCTTATATTCTGTTCCTCAACAAAACAGATCTCTTGGAGGAAAAGCTCAACAAAGCGAGAGTTGTCCTCAAAAGAGTGGAAAGAGTGGATCAGACGCACAGCAAAACCACCACAACTACCACTACATGCCAGTCATCTAATGGCACGAACGCTAACAGTGAGCGCCAACAGACAATAGTGAGCGCCGAGAAGAGTGAGCAAACCAATGGTCAAACCAATGGTCACAACAATGGCCTCAATTGTGATTATAATAGTAATACTATCGATAAGTATTTCCCAGAGTTTAGGGGCGATCCCACAGACCTCTCAACAGTTCAGTCATTCATTTTGCAACTCTTTGAGTGCGTCCGCAGAGATAAACGCAAACAACTCTACCATCACTTCACTACTGCTGTCGACACTGAAAACATCAAATATGTCTTTAACGACGTCCGCAATACTATCCTTCAGTCAAACATAACGCAACTTATGTTACAATAATACCAACAAAAGCATAATTCAAATATACCTAACCATAGGTTATAATCAAATATTATATACAGATATATATTATATTAAATAATAATAGCATTTATAATCAAAAGTTGTGTCAATTTTGCCAAATTTTTATAAAATAAAGTATTCAAGCATTAAACGAGATGTACAGTACATTGTATATTATTTGATTGCAAATATAACAGTCCATCCATTAATGATATAATATGAATACTAACATGCTGAAACGCAACATCTCATAGGTAAAATGATGATAAATACATTTTAAACTATTGAATATAAATGAATATATGACTATATTGATTGAATTTTATTTGTAAGTTGTTGCGTTTCAGCATATTAGTATTCATATAATAGTTTAATTGATAACTTATAAGTTATAACTATAAATGTTACTAATAATATGCATTATTAAAATGTAAGTATGTTTTGTTATGTTAAGCAATATTTGCGACACAAATGAGTAGGTTTTTACACAAACTATTATCCATTTGATTGAATGAATCTGTTTTGCAAATTTCAAATAAATTCTTCAAAGCAAATGCAATACAATATTTCTCAACATCTGTTAGTTTATAACGAATTGCTGCCAAATAGATGTCACAAAATGTATCAATTGTTAGATTATTAGTGATTATATGAATACATTTGTGTTTAAGCGCTTCTTCCATATAAAAATCTGCCAAATCTAATAAATCGATCACTTCTTCGGCCTTTACATCCACGGAATCCGTATAAAGATATTTGAGAAAAGCATAATAAACACTATACGTGTAATCTTTGATCACAATCTCATTGGATTCACTCTCTGACCACTTATTGTCAGCGCTAAACATACGCTCAAAATATTGGCAACAAATCTTGATGAACCACTTTTGCACATAAATCACTTGACCATCAATTTTAAATATTAGATCACTATTTATTGGATCATTGAATGATTTACTAAGACTTTCAATGATACGACTTTTACTAGTTTGCTGTTGAAAACAAATTGGTTTATAAGTGATCTTCCGTTTGGACATAATAGCAAATATATCGTGAAGTGTGTTGAATGGTGTCTCACGAGGACTGGTAATGATGTCTTCATGAATACATTCGCCCCAAACATAACAGAAGCCATTTTGAGAGACAGCGGCAGATATATTAGACCAGAACTCGGAGCCGATCTCAATGAATGTTTCATTTGTATTCACTTTGATAGCAGTATTGGTGTTATCATTACTTGCGTTCCCCAGTTGTCCGCAATCATTGAATCCAAACGCATAAATATCTCCATTTATTGACAACAACAGTGAGTGATATAATCCGCAGACCATTTGTTTAATGCATATGGATCTCAACGGGACAGGAATGGGGTCATTCTGGTGCAGGTTATTGCCAATACCCAACTGACCGAACGCATTGTTGCCCCAACCGTACACTTGTCCCGACTCTGTCAGTGCCAACGAGTGAGCACTTCCACAGCTAATGGCCATCATTTTTTGTTCATCAAATGCCGACACTTTGATTGGCATTATTTGATTAGTGTTAGTGCCGATACCGATTTGGCCATAATTGTTACGACCCCAGGCAAACACTTGTCCCGATTGACTCAATACAAGCGAATAGTTAGCTCCACAACACACCCGAACAATACGTTTACCAATAAGAGAGGGCCGACAGGACTCGATATTAGTGCCGTTACCCAACTGTCCAAAACTATTGTTACCCCACGAGTAGATATCACCAGATTCTGTCATTGCTATGACATGCTTATAACCATAAGCCATATCCACCACTTGCTTTGTACACAACTCTTCAACCATGTGTGGCTCGTGTACCTCTTGTTTGTGTCCCAATCCTAAACACCCGTACCTATTGGTGCCAAAAGCCCAACACCGGTCGTCATCTGTAATCAAAAGCACTTCATTACTCGATTCACCGAATATTGAACACAATCTCATTTTATTGACGAATTGCGGCTTTAGTCGGTGTAAAACTGTCCAATTGGTTATGTTTGCCATCACTTGTATGTTTCAAACATATACCTTATTAAAAGTATCCAATAAATGTATCATAAGCACAACTATACTATTATACTATAATATTATTACACAAACTCCATAAGAGTATCTTCACAGTCAATATAATTAAGTCAATGTTTCCAAATGACAGCAATTTATATATATTTTAAACAACACATGATATACAACTTGAACTTACATTTACTGATTCAGTAATACTGAATTCATATAAATAATTACACGTTTGCATTTTGAGGACGACTTCTCAATGAACTCATCTATTTATAGGTTTGTAAATGTTTCTCAAATGGTTTCTATCATCATCACTGTTCATCAGTTACTAATTTGTAGAGATCTGTATTTACGAGATGTTATAGATTTATACACAAATATATTACTATTATTTAACATTTATGAAAACAAAATTAACAATAATATTATAATTAAAATAAATTGTATATGAAATGCATTCATAAACTAAAGTAGTGATGAATAATATTGCTTTGAAACGTTATGTAAGACCAATGATCTGATAATGAAGTGATGGACCGAACATTACTTCCCACACATTTCATTCACCCGTCAGCTCAACCCAATCATATTCTACGGTATTCCTGTAAATGACCTCGCTTCAACTTCAACTAGTTTATCGCCTTTTTATGTTACATTTATACATTTGTTTTACCGGAATAAGTACTGTAAAGTATTTAATATTGTATTCATCTCTATTTGAAGACTATAACTTCTCCATACGCTAACTTATTTTCGACTCCCCCAAAATTACGACAGCCCTTAATTATGTTCAACGAAAGGGCTGTCAAAAAATAAGTGATAATAAGTGATTTTAGGGGGAGTTAGCGTATGACTACTATAACTTACTTGTTACTAATTTATTATAGTTTATGTTAAATCTAAATTTGAAGCCAAACTATTGAAAAGTACAGCTTTTGAGTGAATGATCCGATTTTGATTCACTCTTCTCTAAATTGAATAAAAGGCTAAAAATGTGATTCATTTTCGGCGCATATTTTTGACTGAATTGAGTGAAGACTGAATCAAATGGATGTTGCGTTCAATCGCTGTACTCTTGAAATAGTGTTTAATATGAACTGTATTTCACACAATTGCACACAATTCTCATTTGTTAATTAAATATAATTACTTTTATATGTTTTATATTATGTTATAAATTAAGTAATTTTTAAGTTGATTCTCATATGTATGTAAATTTCAAACCATTTGCCAAACGATTGAATAAAATGCGTAAATATTTATTAAATATAGCATTAATACTGTATATAAATATGTGAATTGATAATAGAATTGACAGATTTGGTTGTTGGCTGGTAAGTTGACCAAGAGCATGAATGGCATGCAACCTCGGTTATGAATCATAACTTACTGTAAGATGAATATGGCTAATTGGTTCTGGGTAATACAGTACTGTACAGTACATTGTATATGAATAACGTTGTTTGTGAATAAGACTAGAATACAGTGTATTGCAGTACAATTGTGGACATACTGTTGTGTTATAGCTAGTGTTGACGGAAATTTGGTTTGATTATATTAAATGTTGTGTGTTTCATTTGGTAATTATAATACAGATTTCGTGTTATTTGGTGGTTTATCAATAATTTTGTAAAACTTGGTTTTATTTGTTTTAATAAAACGAAATTATACAATTTTTGAATTTGGTGCTTTATTGGTTTTAACCGCGTAACTGCGAACACTAGATATAGCGGTTATTATGCAATGCTTTTGAATGGTTTTGTATGAAATCCTTGAAAAGTTGTTAGAAATTTAAGTGCAAAATGAGTGCGAAATTAACGGTAACTATAATTGCAATGATTTGTTGTTTTGTTGCCATTAGTTATGATTAGATGTTATAAATGCTTAAAGTGTTGAATCGTTGGCGAAACAAATGTCTATTAAATAGTATTAATAGTATTAATGGTATTAATAGTTATAATAAGTGTAACAATTGTATTGATTTGTCAGTGAATCGCTTGAATCGCTTGAATCGGCGATTGATTGCTAATTGTGTCCCTATTTTGAGTGTTTCATCAATCCATCAATTGTTGAGTAAAGACAACAAGTATTACAAGTATTCAGTGAAGCGTTTGTCCACTTATGACAAACACAAACTTCTGTACGGAGGTCAAGAGTGTAGGCTACTGTAAGCCGTTGTTAACCTAGTTAACTAACGCAGGTTGTTTCACGACGAGAAGTCATGTTGGTGAACAGGAAAGACACGTTTCCAAACATAACATTGTATTGTCTCTCATGTGTGACTAATTGTCTCATTGGTTGTCACTATCACTGTCTCATCGATGGTTAGGTGAAGGAGTTGTTCAAGTCTTTGAATGTGGAGACAGTTGTGGTTGAGTTGGATGTGATAGAAAGGGGACAGGAGTTACGACAGGCTCTGAGCGCTCGGGTCGGCCGCACGTCTGTCCCGCAGGTGTTTATCTCTGGCCAACACATCGGCGGTTGTGATGACACACATCGGGCCAGAGATGACGGACTGTTGGCTAAACTACTGAAAGGACACGACTATGACTACGACCTGATTGTGATTGGGGGCGGATCTGGAGGTTTGGCCGCATCTAAGGTGAGTCTTGTGGCGTTGCCTGCAATTCAATGATGGTATCGATTGTGTTGTCTTAGGAAGCGGTCAAATACAACAAGAAGGTAGCGGTTCTGGACTTTGTTGTACCCACACCTCTGGGCACAGCATGGGGTGGGTATCCCTCTGTTGATGATGTGATGATAATGTGATGATTATGTGATGAATTGGTTTGTATGGCTAGGATTGGGCGGAACGTGTGTTAACGTTGGATGTATTCCCAAAAAACTGATGCATACGGCGGCTCTCATCGGACAAACACTGAAAGACGCCCCACATTATGGCTGGAATATACCGGGAGGTGTGTATCACTGGACACTAACACTAGTAATCACGCGATTATAACTATAGTTTGCTTTTAGAGATAACTCACGACTGGAATCGCATGAAAGATGAGGTCCAGAATTATGTCAAATCTATTAACTTTGGATATCGAGTGCAACTCCGAGAGAATAAAGTGGATTATATCAACGCTTTTGGGTGTTTTGTCGATTCGCATACTATTAAAGTGGGTTTCATTGTATTTATTAATCATTTATTAATTACTTTTCCACACAAACAGTGTGTCGACAAGAAGGCCAAAGAGACAACTCTTACTGCAGACAAGTTTATAATAGCTGTCGGCGAAAGACCTCGATATCCTACAGACTGTCCCGGAGTTAAAGAGTTTGCTATTACTTCTGATGACTTGTTTTCTCTGCCCTATTGTCCCGGAAAGACGTTAGTTATCGGCGCTTCATATGTGGCTCTGGAATGCGCCGGTTTTCTCCGCGGCCTCGGATTGGATGTCACTGTAATGGTGAGTGTTCTCACACAACACCTGTGACCACACCTGTACCAACACCTGTGACCAACGTTACAGCGCTGTCAATACATTGTTAATTAATGAACTAATCAACTATAGGTTCGGTCAATACTGTTGAGAGGTTTTGATCAGGAAATGGCTGAAAAGGCCGGTCAGTATATGGCCGAAGAAGGGGTCAAGTTTTTGCGCCCCTCTATTCCACAGCGAATCCAACAGTTAGAGTCCGGAGCGCCCGGAAGACTACTCGTAACCGCTAAGAGAACTGATAACAACCAGGAGTTTAGTGAGGAATACAATACCGTTCTGTTTGCCATCGGACGCGATCCCTGTACTGATACTATTGGTCTCGAAAACGCCGGTATTTACTAATCAAATACTTTTCCCAATGTTTTGCATTCAAATGTATTCTATTTGAAGGCGTTTTGAAGGAGAAAAACGGAAAACTGGCCACAATTAGTGAGAAGACAAACGTTGACAACATTTACGCCGTCGGAGACATACTTTACGGGAAGTTAGAGTTGACTCCAGTGGCCATTGAAGCGGGCGTTTTATTGGCTCGACGTCTGTTTGGCGGCAGTAATGTTGAGTGCGATTACATTAACGTTCCCACAACTGTATTCACACCATTAGAATACGGCGCCTGTGGTTATACTGAGGAACAGGCCGTCCAAACATTTGGCGAACAAAACATTGAAGTATATCATCAAAAATTTTGTCCGTTTGAGTGGCAAAATGGAAGAGTCCCACAGTTTGCACACAGAAGTCGAAACATTTGTTTTGCAAAAATTATTTGTTTGCGAACTGAAAACGTTTGTTTGTTTTATCAATTATTTTATTTCAAATCTTAATCACAAATTCTTAATTTTTTTAGGAAAGACTATTGGGTTTTCATTATTTGGGTCCAAATGCTGGTGAAGTGACACAATTGGTTGGTCTCTCCCTTAAAATGAAAGCCACAAAAGCAGATCTCGACGCTCTTATAGGCATTCATCCGACGTGTGCTGAGGTGTGTGTTAGCCGTTATATAGATTAAACCCAATACTCAGCGCTTATATTCAATTCGCACTATTGCTTACTTCAGTCACAAAATGGTTTGCTTAAGTGAGGAGAGCGTTCGCATTAGGATTTCTTAAGCAAGCAAAACCTGTTTTCATATTCAATTGCTCGACTGTTACAGTGGGCGTTGATTGGCCCAAGACAATCACACACACAGTACAGTAGATATAGTAAATAAATGAATATATTGTAAACAAACACATGTGATATTTAAAGAGTGCGCTGATTGGCCCAAGATAAGTCACTTGAGCGTTCGCACTGAAACCTAGGAAAGCTTACTAACTTAAGAAGGGTCCCTCGCTTGCTCCGATAAGTCAAGTGACTGAGGTGTTCGCACTGTGCTTAAGTCTAGTTAGCTTGCTTGTAAGCAACAGTGCGAATTGAATATTAGAATTGAATGTTGCTCATTATTTTGAATGTTGCTCATTATTTTGAATGTTGCTCATTATTTTGAATTGTAACAGGTATTCACAACCCTTGATGTGACAAAACGGAGTGGTTTGGCGCCTGATCTCAAGTCTTGTTGTGGTTGAGCTCTGCAACAGTGTTGGACTCAAACTGTTGTTTTTAACATTCATAATATTTGCTTATTTTTAAATTTTGGTGTTAGTTATAAATCTAGTTGAATACTGTGTGGAAAGGGGTGTCCTTTTAGCGAATTGTACGAAACGTGAATATGGTTATTAGGGCACCCCTTCATCACCCTTTCAAACAGCAGTCTTTATAGTAATTTGATTGACGAGTTTTGGTTGAAATGAAGATTAAGTTCGCAAATATCTGCATTAGAAACGACTAAATCTGATGAAACAACTTAATGGTCGTTATAATTATACGCAACTTACATATTATATAATCAATTGTTTATTACATTTTACAATACAATTCACAATAAATTTCTAATTGAATAATAGTATACATGATATACATAAGTCCATAAATATAAAAGTAATTTATTTAAAAGCTCTGAGTTTTGCAGAAGTTTTCATAAATCGTTTGCAAAGTTGGGGTTCGATTTGATCAAAGCCTGGCGTCAGACAAACATCATTCAAATTATTGGCCGCAAACTTAAGACAAAAGTTCTCCAAATCGGTTGAATTGTATTTCACTGCCGATGAGTATAAGGCGAACGCATTTTGCACTGATATGTGATTCTTGATAATGAGAGCGCATTTGTCTCTCAGATGATCCTCACAGTAAGAATTGGCCAAATCGTAGAGTTCGATGGCGTCCTCTAGTCTTATGTCCACACAATTAGTGTAAATGTATTTTATGAATGCATAGTAAACGTTATACGAGTATATATTAATCTCAATCTCACACGTCTCCGGTTGCGACCAGTGCTCGGAAAACATGGACCGGAAATGTTCGCAACGAATCCTTAGAATCGCTTTGTGGGCGTAAATAAATTTGTTGTCGATTTTAAACCTAATTGAATACAACATGTCATTTGTGTCATTTGGTCTATTCATACCACACTATACCTGAAATCGCTTAATTCGGTTTCATTGAAGGCCCGACGCATACAATCAACCAATGGGTTAACAGAGGGTCGTTCATCAATATGAATGGGTTTGTAAGTAATTTTACGTTTCGAGTAAAACGAGAAGATGTCGTGCATAGACTGAAGCGGTGTTTCCCGGGGAGTAGTTATCACTTCGGGTTCACATTCTCCCCAAACTAAACAGTTTCCCGTTGTTTGACTTACAGCTACTGATATACTGCTCAATGGATGCGAACCAATATCTGAGAACTTATTGCCGGTAATGATCTTAAAAGGAAATGTTTGGTTCATTTTGTTTCCATTGCCTATTTGTCCGAATTGGTTACAACCAAATACATAGATATCTCCATCACTGGATAATAAGAGGCTGTGGTATTGACCACATATCACTTTCTTAATGATAACCCCATTCATTATATTGATTCTGTTGGGAACCATTTGACTGATATCATTGCCTATGAAGTGATTGTCGCTTCAATTAGAGGTTTGACCAGCAATAAGTTGCAATAACTTACCTAGACCCAATTCTCCTTCACTATTATAACCCCAGCCGAATACATGTCCCTCTTTTGTGAGTGCCATTGAATGATAATAACCACAGGATATCTGTATCACATCCTCGTTGTCAATGCCCTTAACTTTATGAGGTGTGGACTGTATATCGAAATTATTGCCGTTTCCGATCTGACCATAGCTGTTGTCTCCCCACGAATATACCTCTCCAGTGGCCGTCAGTGCCAATGAGTGGTCATAACCACAGCTAATATCAACAATACGTTTGCCAACTAAAGCGTCGATAAGATTGGGACGATTGCTGTTGACTGTGGTTCCGATGCCGAGCTCTCCGTTGTTGTTATAACCCCACGAATATATGTCTCCATTGGCTGTGAAGGCAATTACATAATAACCACAATAAGCAATGCTTGCGATCTCCTTATAACATAACTCCTCGAGTCTCGTGGGCTCTTGTATTGGGTTATTGTGACCCAAACCCAGACACCCGTACTTATTGTTACCAAACGCATACACGTTGTCATCTTTGGTCACAATTATCACCTCATTTCCTGATTCCCCAAAAATACAAATTAGTTTCACATTTGATATAAAGTTTGGCCGCAATTTATGTAAAACAACCCAATTCTCAATATTAGGCATCACTTCAGTTAGTAATTGTTAACCAATTTTATGCATATGTTTAACATCTATATTAAACTCAATAATTTCTACTTTTCATACTATTTACTTAATATACAGTAAACATGATAATGAATGATAAAGAAGCATGCCCATCCCCAATACTAACCATGGCCCCAAACATATTATATCATTTGTTGGCCAGATTACCATTTAAAATGATATGAATTGTTCATGATGAGAAGTTTATGGATAGAACTAAAGATGAATCACATTGTATTGTCTTGTATTTATTGTTATTTAAAGAAGTGGCACACATAGCGTTGCCAAACGTACAGGAATTTCCTGTATTATACAGGAATTTTCACTTAATACAGGAAGAAATTTTCATGTTCATTGAAGAATACAGGAATAAATATTTCAAAAATAAGCTGTAATACAGGAAAATACAGGAATTCTTGGCAATTTTCTTACATTTATACAGGATTTTCAAAATATGATTTGGCAACGCTAGGCACACATGAATATACAATGTATAACAAGATATGTTTGTCTATAAATACATTTTTAAATGAGATAAATTTTCTCGATAAAAGTGGGCACTATTCCCAAACCAGATGTCCTAGAAACAAATAGACAACATTTTCAAAGACCTCTAACCATAGTCTATCGTTCTTATATTAAATGGTGACCAGGTCAGTGGGGCGAGCCTTAGCATTAGGGATGGGCATGCTACTTTGATATTTGAATTTAGATAACTTTGTGAATAGATTTCGTTTGTGATTAGATAAAGTGAATTTATTTTTTTAAAATTATACAATAATTTTAACAGATTTATTGAACTTTTATGAAACTTGTTTGAATATATTTGCGAATCGGATATAATGAATGGAATCAATGCTGTTTACCGATTATACCTTATATCCGGATTTAACTTTATGTCCAATATTTATGAATTCCTTTGAAATATAATGACTGCGAGAATAAGGAAGAGAAGACCAGTGCCGACATTGAGGGCGAATCCGTGAAACACATACTCATGTGATAAACTCCAACCGCGAAGCATAACATTTCTTAACGATTCGGTTGGCATTGCTATCGGACTGTAATACAAGATTTGTCTTAAGTTTGGTTCGACTAATTCGAAAGGAAATATCGCTCCAGAAGTGAAGAGTTGACTGAATGTTATGAATATTGAGATGAGAACCGCAACAAAGCCCTCGTCCACTATCGACGAGATTAATAATCCTAAATACAAGCATTCAAACAGACAATTAGATCACATCACCATCATGGTCATCATCGCTTCCAATATCGCAAAACGCAGCTGCATGCAAAACCATAAGCTAACGCAATTACGGGTTAACCAATATATAATTACTATATCTCTCAAGATTAACACAACGAATAGTAAAGATATTACAATAGACTTAGAAAACAGACATTTCAATTGGTTTTAGTTTCGTTTGATGAAGAATGTGGTTCATAGCAGGACTTGCAAAACTAATATACCCGCCATTTATAGTGTATAATTTCTATACTGACATGTATTGTGAGTGCACTGACTTTGCACCATAATGCAATATGATTTTTAATTTGTTGAATGATTCTTAGTCGTAAAGTTTAATGTTAAAATACATTCATCATAAAAATGATTGTTTTTGAGTTCATTTCATGCGTTGATTCAATGCTTAAGTTGAATGCCATAAATGAGTTTTAACATTAGATTCTACGACTAAATTTTAAGAATCATGCAACAAATTTCAACTTATATATTGGTTTCTAAACTCACAATGTTTCTATCACCTTATGGGAAATTGATATGAGATTATGGCTTAAGTCTATAGCTATATTTTAAGATGGGACTTCTCCCATAGGTTAAATTTAACATAGGTAATGCTAAGTCTATGGGCGATGCTAGGAAATGTTACTAAATTATATAGTCGGAATAACAGTGCAAATAGTAAAAACAAAACATTGCGCAACACTAACAATGTAATTTTGCAGAAAACTTAAATAATCATGATAATAACACTTATGAATCGTTAGAAATTTTGAAAATGTCGCTATTGTAACAATAAAACAATAAAATTATGATGAGCGTGGGTAGAAAAGTAGACTGGGTGAGGGGGCATTTTTGTAGGTCTTGTTATGTTAACCATAAATGCTATATATGACCCATGAAATCTCATCACCGGCTTAACTTTTGCATTAAACTTTGTATATTTTGTGTGCTATTCATTTTATAAACTCAAGTTATGATTAAACCTAATAAAAAAGTTAAGCCGGTGATGAGATTTCATTGGTCATATGTTGGTAATTCTATCCCAATAGTGGGAAGATGTGTTCAATTCATATTGATCTAAAATATACATTTAAGGAAATATAAATAATATTACCGATAGCTATAGCATTAGCCGCCTGTGCCATCACTAGGACTAAAATGAGTTCAATTGATCCATAATTAGTAATTTGAAAGACAATAAATGAGATGATAAGCATTAAAATGATTTGAATGAAAGACATGAGACAATTGGTGACAAAATGTGATATAAAGACTAATTGATGTCCGACTCCCGCAACCAATGAGCGTTCAAAGAGTCCGTCTTTTCGCTCTTGTATGAGA